AGTCACAACACTATCAATGATATAACGATGATATATGGTTGAATATTACTTGTAATAAAGGTAATTTAATATTTTGCCCATATTTAGTTTCGTTTCTATGCAAAAAATACACGTGAATTTAGTACGAAACACCTTTCGAAATATTTATCCTTTCACTTTCGTTTTTATACTACAATATTGCACAAAACGGCATATTTTCGCAAATCTCACTTAAGCAGCGACATGTTGTTAGCTCGCGACAATTTGAGCGTACAACTGACAGTCAATTACACTTTACTGTCCGTAATTGTGACATGTCTGCCCTGTCCATTTTGGGTTTTCTCTTGTTTTTTATATTCCTTGGTCAATATTAGCCAAAATTTTGGCTAATGAGCATTTGAACAATGGAGCAGCAGTAATAGTTGTTATTCACAAATTATACTGTAATAAGGTAAAATGTTGTATTGTTATTTATACATTTATGTTGATTTATATTCAAACTTGAAAACAATTGATATTTTTAAAAATAATTATTTCTTAAGCCCATTTAGCACTGACAATTATTATGAAGTCAGTTTTTAGTTATGTATAAAGTTGAAAAGGTCAGTGTTATTTACAAAAAAAAAAATAATCTGTTTCATTATCTGAACATGACACAATATCCTCTATTTCGGGGCCAGTCTCCAGTGAATCATGAAAGGGACGGCTTGATGGTTGAAGCTAGTCATGAACTGATAGAAGGTCTCTAACTTTTGGTGCAGGGAGGGTAATTAGTTTTTAATTTAAGGGTATAAGAGTTGGCATTGGTGCAAGTAGTTTTGAACATGTCATGTTTCGTGTTCGTATTAATTTTGTCATTTTGAATTCCTCGTTAACTTCGAAAGAGTATTTGTAGAAAATTATGCCTCGATTAACTTTTCTCATCTTAATCTATTTTATTTTATTCCAGTTAACCTGTAATCTGGAAAAATCCGTAAATGTAAAAAATGTAAATAATAACTATTTTTTAAAAATTACATCAAAAATCACAACAAATTTCCTCGATTCATAAAATATCAAAATTATGTCGAATAGAAAGAAATAACAAACAAAAACCAATAGTGCGCCAGCGGTGATATTGATAGCTGTTATCACCCGCGTAAATTACTTCCGGACGGATCTGTATTTTATATTGCTAAATTAAGTATCCGCCGTGAGTGACTTGTGTGCGATGTCTTACTCAAACGAGGAATATGATGATGTGTCTCGGGAAATGTGACTGCATTTATGCAGAAGCACGGAGACTTTTAAATTGTTCTATGGTCAAATTCGTGCACACAAATCCTTCACAATACACAGAATATGTCAACAGCAGACGTTAACGTTAACGTGGTAGACGTCGTAGACAGCATTAACGTGGTAGACCACGAATTGCTAAATTGTGGCTGCACTGATAAGTTGAGTAGCGCTTTGCTACTCCACGAAATATACAATTACCGTCAGCGATGACGTTTCAACGGCTTCACATTCGTTTGTACAAAACTGGCAGCGTGCATGGCCGTGATCAACAATGTACAAATTCAGGAAGATCGAGAATGTACGACGACGATATCGAGGCGTACATTCGCGTCAAATCTTCCCCAAACATTACATGTTCTGGAGCACGCGCTCGGTGGCACGTGAACTAGATGTAAACCATATTCGCGTTAGGAGAGCCCTCAAAGAATCATCTTAACTCGGCGATAATGATATGGCCATCAGGCCAGCACCCGTGCCATCACCGTCGAGTTCTGTGTCTTCTTCCTAAGGACTATGAGCAGAGAATGGATTACTGTAGATGGTTACTCGATAAGGTTGAAGGAGATCCTGAGTTTTTGAACCGCGTACTTTTTACAGATGAACGCTCTTTTGTTAGAACAGGTGTATTTAACGCTCATAATAAACACGTATGGTCAACGACAAATCCGCATTCTTTTAAACCAAGCCACTTTCAACACCGATGGAAAAACAATGTGTGGAAGGGAATTATAGGTGACAAAATGATTGGTCCGTATCTTCTTGACTACACAATGAGCGGCGAAAACTACGGACGCTTTTTGCAAGAAGAACTAAGCGATGAACTTGACGAAATAAATCTAGACCTCGGTCGTCGCATGTGGTTTCAACACGATGGCGCATCACCGCATTTCTCCCGTTGTGTAAGAATTTTTTGGATACTGAATTCGATAAAAGATGGATTGGCCGTGGCGGACCGGTCAACTGGCCGGCGCGATCACCTGATCTCACACCTTTTAGATTTTATCTCTGGGATACGATTTAGCAGTCTGTTTTCCAAAAAAACATGCGATACCGAGGCGGAAATGTGTACGCGTATAATCGCATCCTTTGAAAAAATTAAGTCAGAAATATCTGTTATGCAACGCGTGCGTTTAGACATTGAAAGCCGGTGTCGCAAATGTATAAATGTCTTCAAGTAGACATAGTAATAAATTAGTATTTGTGGATAATTACCCCAATCGATCGAAATAAAATTTTAAAATTTGTGATAATCGACTACTAAAGTGATAACAGCTGAGTGATGTGACGAGGTCACGGCTTTAGTGCAGTTGGTGTAGGTATGACGCATGCGTTACGATTACAAACTGCGTTCCGGGAAGTCTGCAGTTTGTGATCATATCCTAGGCGGCTCCAACCCTTACATTAGATTTGGTAGACCACAATAGGCTTACTCTTGAAAACAATTCCGATCGATCGGGATTGGAATTATGACGTTTGGTACTCTTGAAAGCGACTCTAGCGCCAAATTATTATTGCGTGGAGATTGTGTGAACTAATTGAGATTGAAATTGAAATTGTCCAAGCGATATCGGTACTCCCGACGCACTTTTGACAGTTAGTTGACAGCAGCGTATTGTGTTTGATATTGCGTTGGAATTGGAATTAAGGCAATAGCAAAACAGTAACGTTTTAGGAATTGAGTTCATATTAATCTTTTGTTATCTGCAATTATCTTATTGTTTTCGATAAAATAATGACATGTTTAGCTCTTGCGTCTATTATTCTACGCCGTAATAGTGCATTACAATTAACATAATGACTAAATGAGCTTCAAATTATGCGTTTTAAGCACTTAAGTTTTTTTCTATGAGTGATGATGATTATGGAGCTAATAATTGTATTTTAAGGACTTTAATGAGAAAATAGTGCATGAAATACCTAAATATGATCCTCCGTAGAGGATATATTTTACATCATATTGTTACAGCCTTTGTTTTAATTCGTTTTAAAGTGGTTGTTTTGTAAAAGAAATATTTTCATTATTTAGGCGGCGCAAAGGTTTAAAGAGGATTGTTTAGATATCTCCAGTATGATCTAAAACATCCCACTGCTGGGCAGAGGTTTTTATCATGTCTGAGAGGTTTATTGGCGGGTTTCACACGTAAAGGAAATATGAATATAATAAATGTATAATTTTATAAGAATTAAAAATAAAATTATATAGCTAACGTAATTTTAATAACATATAACTTAACACAACATAAACACTCACGCCTGCCACTAAGAGGGGTGTACTTCCATTTGGCACAATCCTGACACACCTCTCTTGCCTCCTCCACATCATTATACCTACACATACATGCTCGTCGGTTAAGGTTACCCTTAATTTAGTCGGTATTCTTTCGCCTAGAACATCCCTTTCCAACTCTGCCGCTCACTTCTGCAACATAAATTTGCTTTGTCACTTGTTCCTCATTCATTTTTTTGACCATATGACCATACCACCGAAGCATTCCTTTCTTAATACTGGTCACATCATCTTGCAAACCACATTCTTATCACACAATTTCTTACCCTTTCACTCAGATTCAGCCCTACCATACTCGTTAATGACTGCGTTTCTACTGCGTTTATTCTACTTTCGTGCTTCTTCTGCCACACCCAACTTCCACTACCAATAGGGACTAACATAGCCATATGTGCCTTTTTTGACACTTTCTGACTTTTCACAATAGAGTTTAGAGCCTCATTTACTTTATTTCCAGCATTCACTCATTGCTTTTTAATAAGGATTTGTTAATAAAATTCTGATACAAATTTAACTATTTATTTAATATAATACAAACATATTTTTATCAACCTATCATCATTAGTATATATTCTTACCTACATACTAAATCTATATTAAATCTATTTTTCATATTTGTAATTTGATAATATAGCTTAACATATGTAACAAAAACATATTGATTATATATCAAATGATAAGACTATGGAATTAAAATCTTAAAATTATATCTTCAATGAACCAAAAATCAGTTTCTTTTACAAAAGTAATTAAAAGAAAACAAATAAATTTAAATTAACATTAAAACATTTATAAAATTAAATGAAAGTCTTATTTTAAATTACAGCAATGCTTATTGTTGTTGTATTCGGTTTGGAAAATTTAAAACAATAATATTAAAACCCACAATTGTCCTGGCTATTTTGGACATTGCATTTGATTATTACTTTATTTTCAGGTGCTCCATATATTGATCATTTCTTGTTGGTAGAGTGTTGGTGCTTGGGGAATTTGGTATGGAATTAAGTTGTGATTCTGAAATGAAAATAAATATTTGATAACATACCATCTCTGTAGAGTAATGTATTATAAATCAATGACAAAATTAAGGTCGAATATTTGAATTAGAAGTTTTAATCCATCACAAGCCATTTAAAAGGATGTTTAAGATTTATTGAAACATCTATATTCTTTACACTAAGAGATAACACATTGCAATTAAAAATGATGGATTACCTTTTTACCACTTGAGTGTAAGGCATACATATTGCAAGTTCAACTTACAACGGTTTAATTATACTGTCAAGCAATGCTTTTAAGGAAAAATTAACGTGTCTGTGACAAAACATTTAAATATAAACAGGATGTGGCTGTTAGACATAATGACAGTACGAAGATTGGCCAGAAATGATTATTCGAACATTATCATTATATTCAGATAAAATCACGCGATATGATGATACTATATAAATAACAGATTTTTCAACTAAAGCTAAGTCGTGTTGGATTTATTTTGAGCAACTAACTTACTTTGTTTTTGAAATACTTGTAAGTATTGCAACATTTTTAAAGTACCTACCAAAATTTTTCTTATAGTGCAGTCGTCATAATGCCCTAGTCATCCAAAAATAAATAAATAATATATTTAGCCGTCCGATAAATTTGAAACTTGAAAAAAGTCTTTTTATTATATTTATATTGAAATGTTTAAGGTTATCTTATAGAATTTTTTGTTGTATGGGACGCGCCATGTACTTATTTACATGCACAGATCGTGTTATACTAGCAACTCGCCCACGCTCCGCATGTTTGGCGTCTTTGAAAAAGACAATAGTTGACAAATGAATTGTTCATATACGACTCACGGGTCAGTGAAATGATTCATGTGCATGTACGACGAAAATACGTAAAAACTAGCGTAGTCTACGAGTACTATGGCGTTTAATTTTCTTAAATGATCATGAAGGACCTAAATGGTCATTCATGATCATTATAAAAAAGATTCAATTTCGATTTCACAATAGATCTTTCATGTCCTCCAATGAATACAACTTACATCACTCCTAGCATTGCTTTCTATGTGTTCGTGAGTTAGCATTGATTTAGTCATATATATATATATATATATATATATATATATATATATATATATATATATATATATATATATATATATATATATACTTCTATATAATATATAAGTATACTTCTATATAATATAGACTCTCCAATTATAATATACGTTTTTTGTTTACAAATATTCATCGGACAGATAAAAAGAATTTATTTACTCGTTTGCTGGACGGATACCTACTTCCTTTTCTTTTCTTAAGCCTATTTAAGAGAAATATATTTAAAAAATTATTAAGTAGTTCGTTTAATTGTGATACAAAAAGCGGGTTCACATAAGAATATACGTAGGTGTTTTAAATTTTGTTAAAAAAAAGGTTATCGAGCCGAATTATCGACTTGCCGTGTACTGTGCACCTCACTACCGTAACATCTCTCTTTTTTATTTAATTCTGATAGGTTCTCTAAAAGAAATTGCTATGTAATAACAAAAGACGAAATGCCCTTTGTTTTTCTTCTATAAATTTTGTTTTCCATATTGTTATTATACATGAGTAGAAAAGTATGATATTGCTTTGATTATAATATGTACTAATCTTTGGTGGCTTAGAACCGTGATTTTGTGGTAAACTATGGGTGATAATGATGATGATGAAATAATAACTTCCGGTAACATTCGACGTAACGATTTGAGGTTGTGCAGTAGACAAAATCGGACAAGAAAAGAGATAAAATGTCTTTAAGTCTAACCTTACTTTTAACAGGATAATAGGCAAGGGCTTGAAATCGTAACTATATATAAAAAAATAACTTATAATTAACGTTTTCAGACCAAGATGTTGAAGACAGTTTTCATTTTGGCAATAGTTGCAATGCTGGTTGGTGAGGTAAGTGGTCATAAAAACAATTTTCATAATATAAGAGTAACAATTATAGATAATATATAGACTAAAGACACCTGAGTGTCATAAATAGGTAAGACATTAATTTAAAATAAAAAAACATGAATGTACCTCTACCAATCTACTATTCGCTACTAATCATCTAATAATCTACATAAATAAATAAATTAAATATATGTGTCATTCTCAAATTTTTGAGCTAAGTAGCGTAGCGTTTCCACACGAATCGAGCCGACCACGAATATTCGTGTGGAAAGCACGAATGGGTCGGCACAACCGAGGAAGGGCCACGCTCTCGCAGAATACCAGCGTTAAATAGCAGCTCAATACTGCTGTGTTTCGTATGGTGAGTGTGGAGATCCGGAGACCCTTTTTTACCGAAATCGAGGCATTCCATCTTACTCCCCAGGGGTGACAGTGCATCTGCATTTTGAATTTTAATCGAGGATAAATGCCTATGGTCCACAGCATCCACTTACCATCAGGTGGACTGTGTGCTCGTTTGTCACCCTTATTCTATAAAAAAAAAGAAACAAACCGGGAGATTGGCAGCAGCATCTTCCTTATAACAACTAAAAATAAACATGCAATGGCAAACCTGGCTGCCAAGCATGGCAACTATGGCTTTTATCCCTCATGTGAACCAGTTTATGGTCAAATTTTAATGGGCTGTAATGGTATGTTAGCGTCATGCAGTGGACTTTTATGGGCTACATAAAAAAGTAAGGAGAACTGAGGTCTACCACAGTTCTCTTTTCTTTCTTTTCTTATACGAACCACCGGTGGATACCGTCGGCGGTCCATGTTTCTCTATGTGCACGTATGACGTGCAGCATCGCTGATAAATCACGATGTAACTTCTCATTTGTAACTGTTTCAGTCAATTCAACAAGGTGGTGGTGGTCAAGGAGGTAAGATTTTCTTCCTTTTTGTAATTCCTTTTTTTTTAATCACTATGATCTTAAAAGTACTGATTTGTTTCTTTGATAGTAGTTGATTTTTTTGATCGATACTATTTGTCCGTATTTGGTGGTGCCGTAAGACAATTAATTACACTGTTTCCTCCCATGGGTGACATACGGCGACTAGGGATTTTGCCAGGTAAAGCGTATGGCTTCTTATCTTTCGATAGATGGCGCTATAATTATCTCGTTTACTCTATAAGTAAAATACCCAGACGACAATGCACAGCAGCGTTAAAAGTGCTAAGTGGTACTGCGATCGTCGATCTACTTGTTAAGCGTGACGATTAAGGCAAATCATCCTTATAAGGTTGAGAGGCTGAAGAAGAGAAGAAGAAGAAAAGAAGGAGAATTGATATTCAGTTTATTCTGATCTCTTTTAAACAATAATAAAGCAATCGTTACAATATTTTGTTGCATGTCAATAAGGAAATTAGTGTATCATGATATCACCTTCACCATTAGGATGATTAGTGGTCCACCGTTATGCGATTTACAAGAATCTTTCTTCAAAAAAGTGGAACAGTGTAAATAAACTCTATATATTAAAATTATTTAAAAGAAGAACTAAGGATATATTAAGGAAGAGAAAGAGAGAGAGAAGAAGAAAGGTGAGCAATTTAAATAAAAACATCTGTGATAATAGTTATTGCACTGGGGAACGGTGAAAAGTATACATCAATTCACTTATTTGGGAAATGCTAGAAACATATCATGTTCTTTGATAGATGGTACCAGCTCCTTTTACGTCCGTCGTAAAATAACTCCAGTCCAGCACTCTACAAAAACTTTTAATACCTGATGTAGAAAAGAAGAAGAAAAAATTAACAGAATATTTTAACCAGCAATTTTAATTTCTGAGATGCCTGAGAAATATTGAAATGTGATTATGTAATTATTGTACTCGTAAATACAATTCTTAATACTTTTACAGGTATGGGCGGTGGTCCGCCACCGAAATTTGGAGGTATGTATACTTTTTAAATATTATTAAGAGTTGATTTTTCAGTCATTAATATTCAGCCAGGTTATTATTTTTCTGATAGATAACTGTTCTGATAATTGATAAATCAGCTTGTCATATACAGAACAGAATATATGCAGAATTATAAAACATCCAGGGAGTCGATGGATGCAAGTGGCTCAGTTCCGTGCTTTATGAGATTCCTTGGGAGAGATGTTCAGCTGTGGACTTGTGAAGGGATGTAACGAATGAATGAATAAATGAATGATAAATCAGCCCTTACTCCTATAGAACTCAACTATTCTTAATACATAATTTTGCAAGCGAGTTGTTGGAATAGGCAATATTATTTATAGTTCGTGCCTAATGCAACTTCTGATAAGGTCGTGTTTAAAGTATTGACCGATATAAACCCCTGTTTAAACGGAGCGATTGTGACTGATTGTCAATCAGTATTAGTGATTGGCGCAACTCACAAAAACTTTGCGCACGAATTAAACGCCAATATTTCATAAAGGTTCGTTGGAGTAGCGACTCCTACAGTTAGTCAAGTAATTGATATGGTTAGTATAAGTAACGCTAGCACACGTTAAGTTTCGGGACATTCATATAACCAATAGTTATTTCATTCCCTTTTATTATATAGGAGGACTAATATAGGAGATATAGGACATTATGGAAAAATCCTAGTTCATAGTACAGTTTACAGTAAGATATTTTTTTACTAATACTTTACCACCACACGTAGGTAGCTTCGCAATGAACGGAGGCGGTGGTGCTGGTGACATTGGAGGCGGACCAGTTGGTGGACCCGGTGGTCCGGAAGGTGGTAAATAATAAGGTTCGCCTTGAATTTCTCTTTACTTTGTCATTAAAACTACAATGGTTGTTAAATTTTATTCTAGTTTTAGTTAATGTACGCCTATCTTAAGACCCGAGTAGGAAATGTTCGGAACATTATAATTTTACGGGATATATTTCAAGGAGTGTGCCCACTAATTACTTGATTTAATGCCTCAGTATGTGATGACTCTATCAATGAGGTGGCAATCTTCCTGTCCGATTACAATGTCGGTGTTATCAAGAGAAAGTAGTAAATATAAATGTTGTGATAAGGTTTTTCTTATTCATTCATCTTCAATTTAACTATTCGCTAATTTCGATGACATACAAATGATACGAAGGGCAGCGTACGATGACGAATCGTCTCGTGACTATCAGATATAAAATGGCAAATGGGAGCGGTGTCAAAGTTACCAGATTTGTTGGTGCGTACTCTAACCCGCTCACCAATACTACTATTATCATACTCTTTCTAAACATTTAATAATTTGTTCTTTAAAGCCTATCAAAGTCCACTGCTCGACATAGACCTGTCTTAAGTTTTCTCTCGGAAATATTTGTCATAGTTACTCTAAAGCAGATTGACTACCGCAGGTTTTTTCTTAAGAAAGCCTTTTCCCAGCAGTGAAATAGCTGTTGATCGCATGCGATGTGAGTCTCAGTGAAACTCATCGTTTTAATATCTAATAATAAGTCGTCAACATCGTCATCATTATTGCAGCCTCTTACAAGTTCACTTCTGAACTTTCGCAATTCTAACTAGATTGTCTAGTCATTTAATACACTTACCGGAACGAAGCGTACAGTTGAGAACCTTTCTTCGTCAGTGGTTGTTGGTCCTTCGAGCTATATGGCTGACCCATTGCCACCCAGTTTACTGATCCATTGGGCTATGTTAGTTACTCTGGATCGATTGTATTGTAATATTTATTAAAAATGTTACTCAATAATAGACACATTAGTTTAATGAATGTATATATTTTTATTTCAGAATTATATGTTGGTCAAGAAAAACTGTAACGTAAGAAGATTGTATCGTGATTGAACTGATAATATAAATATACGTCTACTAAACTAGCTGCGCGTGTTTTATTTAAGCCTTTACAGCTTTCATACAATCTATACAGCTTTATACATATGAATAAAACTGACGTGCCTATCGTTACATCGAAATAACTGATATCGAATTTATTTGCGTAATATAAAGACATGAGCAGTCATTTGTAAAAATTTTGTCAGCAAAATGCTAGGCTATTTATAAAAGTTATGAAGAAACTTTACGAACAGATAAAAAGTAATGCCAGGAGTGATATAGACTATATATTACCAAAAAAACTTAGTTTTTCTTTGTGAAATCGAAAAACTTTAAAAATAAGTAGTCATTGATGATAATTAAAAAATCTAAATGACATAACCTTAAACCTCCCGTTTACTAGGTAGTGGCACTTCTTTTCTACCTAAAAGTCCATCTTGTTAGGTCTCTTAACTATTTGTACCGTAATAAAGCAGTGGGTGCACCGTTGTGTTCAGCTCTGGTCGTCTTCGTCCTCACAGGTGACAACGGATCTGTAACCGTCTTTGTTCGCACTTGGCTGCAGGTCATGAACGGTGGCACTCTGTGAGCTGGACAGTAAGTTCAATTGTCATTCGTTTTTATACTAAAAAAATCACTTTTATAAAGAATCACCCGAAAAAGTGACAATAATAAAGCCATAGCGTGTCAAATAACGTTGAAAATTGTACACCAACTTACGTATTTTTCTTCACCAGCCTGTTAAAGTCTGTACATCAGTCTCTTCAATTATGCTGTCATAAATTTGGCAAGAAGATTGTCGGTTGAACTACCAAAACACGCGCTTTAACGGTACTCTCCGTTGCTGCTATATATTTTGTTTGGTGCAAACAGGATAGTTATACTGGCATCTGGTCGAAACTGTAAGACCTTTCTGTCATTTCCGGAAGTTGCATTTTACGACAACCACGGGACGAAACTATGTGGTGGCTTTTCATTTTTTTAATCATATTTATCACTAGCTGTTACCCGCGGCTTGGCCCGCATGGTCACTGGGAAATGAACTATCCATTGCCTTTTGAATTGAAAGAAAACTGAGTTTTATAGATTTGTCAGAGATGCAGCCATTAAAAGAAAACTGAGCAAAATTGATTCGTCAGCCTATTTAAAGGTTTTGGTATAGGAAAGCATGAAAATAGCCTGTTTATACCAAATGGAAATGGGATATTTTTTAATTAAAGGAAAATGAGTATAATTATCCATCAGGAATGCAGACTTTTGAAAAGAAACTGAGCTAAATTGATTCGTCGGAGATGCAGTTTTCTGAATTGAAAGGAAACTGAGCCAAATAAAATATCCGTCAGAGATGCAGCCTTTTGAGTTGAAAGGAAACTGAGCTTAATAGGAAATTTTGAATTAAAAGGGAAGATCTGTGGGAATTCTGATTAATTGATTGTGGGAATTTTGAAAAAAAACTAACTGAACACTATTTTAAGACGCTACTATACACAATGTTATATGTTTTTCCATTCGGGGAAAGAATGTGGAGAATCTGGGCATTTGACACGCGAACATGCTACATACAGCTGACCATGAGAAAAGCACGGTTTTTCTAAGTTGACCCCCGCTACCTGTAACGTTTGCCCTTGCGCTTTATTAATTGTCATTGCAAAACTGAGCTTAATAGGGCTGCAACCTTTTGAATTGAAAAAGAAGATCTGTGGGAATTATAGGGATCCGTGTTATAATAAAATTTTCACCTTTTCCTACGACTGTCAAAATTGTAGCACCGATAATGTTCCGTCCAAGATGTGTCACACGCAGCCTTGTACCGTTACATAACCGCGGAGCATCTAAATTTCGCATTAGCATGACTGGGACGCCTAATTTTAATTGAAGCTTATGTGAGGGTACACCTGACAAATCTAGAGAATTTAAAAACTCTACGGGATATGAAGTGCTCTGTTCTGTATCCATAACTGTGTCTACTGACAAATACTCTGTTATTTCTCCTGCTACTTCGCTTAATATATCTGAATTTATTTTGTTAACGCTCCCATTTTTTGGTGCAAGAATCGCCCTTTCACATAACCATTTGTCTTCAAGCATGTTGTTCGTTAAATCTGAATAAACACTCGCAATTAATTCGGAATGACTCTGTACTAAATCACAAAAATCTCTCGTCAATTTAGCGCAGCCCTCAGCATCCGTTTCCAACCGCCCATCGCCAATTTTTAATAGTGTGTCAGCATAGTTTCCAGCATTGATATCATTATGCAAATACACTCTCATATTCGTAGTTAAACTGAATTTTGTCACCTTGTTCCATAAAATAGACGACTTGAGGCATGCTTTAATTTCATCTGCAGGTGTGTACTTTTGAATCACAGGTAAAGTTTGGCGAAAGTCACCAGCCAGTAAAACCACCATTCCTCCCATTACATCGGTATTGCTGCGCAAATCCTGGAGCATTCGATTTAGTGCTTCTACAGCTTTTTTATGCGACATTGTACTTTCGTCCCACACTAAAAGTTTGCATTGTCGTAGCATTATACCTCGTGCACTATTTTTGCTAAAGTTGCAGATCGGCGATTCTTCCTGGGCTAGATTTAGAGGGAGTTTTAAAACAGAATGTGCAGTGCGGCCCCCGTTTAGCAGCGTGGCGGCTATACCGGAGGAAACTATGGCAACAGCAATGTTTTTATCTTTCCGTACTTGCGCTAATAATAAATTTAACCAAAATGTCTTCCCAGTTCCTCCAGGGGCATCTAAAAAGAAAAGTGCACCATTTTCAGAATCAAATTGTCCTAATACTTTGTCAAAACCTCGTTTTTGTTCGGGAAGTAAGCGGGGTACAAATTCGGCTACTTGCTGCTGCAAAGCTGGTATATCGTAGTTTGTTTCACGTATAATTTCATCACTTAGTTCATTTTCGGTTGTTCGCTGATGGCTTATCATTCCAAAGTCGCTTAATTTTTTGCCTACCATTGCCATTACTTTATCTTCAATTTTTCGAAGTGTTTCATTATAAATGTGTTCATTGTATGTCACGTTCGCGTGTGTCTGCTGTAACCTTCGCAAAATATCTTCCGCCATGTAATCTTTATATTTGTCCCACAATTCATGTGCATTAGACAGCCCGCAATATGAGAGTTGCATAAAGAT